ATTATTGAAAGGTATTGACTTATTCCTGTCATTATATTATTTTCCAGCTGCTGACTATTTTTTCTGCCTTCTGCTTAACTGCTAACCCTACCTGATGTATTCATTTCATTCAGCTTTTTGACACCATTGTCCTCATTGTCTCCTTTTTGGATATCCTTGAGAATCTTTCAGTTGCTATTTTGGTGGCTGTGAATTTCTTAAGGTACTCTTTGTCATGGAAAGATCTTACTTCTACATTAATTTTGAAATATAATTTTGCAGGAAATAGGAGTCTGGGTTGGAAATTGTTTTCTTTCAGTGCTTAAAACACTTCAAAATTCTCCTGGACTTTAAGGTTTATATTGAAAAGCCTGCTGTAATTTTAATGGGTTTATCGATATTGACATATCATAAGAACCAGTAAAAGCTACTGATGTATCACTCTTAATAACTGGAAAGAGGGGGCTGGGGATTTAGCTCAGCAGCACAGTGCCTGCCTAGCAAGCACGAGGTCATGAGTTCAATTTCCGGTACCGGGGGGAAAAAAAAAAATTGTAAAGAGACCTGTAATTATAATATAGACACAAAACAAAGGCTGACATACAGTAAATATTTAAATTTTACTATATCATCAGTAATAATTGAAAGGAATTTAACAATAATAGCATAGAGTCAACTAATATCTAAAGATTAATAAAGCCTAGTTGTAAAGTACATGGGGTGGAGAAGAGGAAAATGAAAGGAGTCAAGTTTGAAAAATAAAGAAAAAGGAAGTGAGAAAGAGGAGAGAAAAATGAGATGAAGGATCCTATTAAGGACTAAAAGGAAATGAATATAATCAGATAAAAGAAAAGATAAGAAAATATAATCAAAGAAAAGATGAGAAAAGGAAAGTAAAAGAAAACAGAGAGCAAATAAAGAAAAAAAGAAAAACCCAAATCTCAAAAACTTTGGGTTTTAAAACCAAATCTCCAAACAACCAGTGAAGAAAAAAAGAAGTTCAAAAATAATTCCTCTGTGGTTTCGAGTGAGTGGTTTCTTGTCTGCACTATTTTTTTTTTTTTTT